GTTCAATATATGCAGAAAAGGTAGCAGTAATTTGGTAAATAGTTTTGCTCTATTTAAAACTTTATGTGTTGTGACTTACTGGCTTTTAGATTAGTGCAGGACTCGATAGCAAGTGGAAAATCCACTATCTAAATGAAGCATAGTCACTTAGTAGGCCACTGACTTTGGAATCTTTATCATTGGCATTTCTAAACGTAATGACTGCATATTTCTTGAAATTTGGCACTGCAGTGCTTTATTCTTTTCATCATGTCTAGAGCATGAGATCAGAACATAAAAATAACTTCTTATGTCACCTTTTTCTGAGAAGCCTATTCAAAAATAGAATATAATATCAGAGCCAGTAGGTAAAACTGAAGTAGTTACAGGATAGAAAGTTGCTTAAATATAGACAGATTTCAACACATTATGTCCAATAAAAAAATGGAATAAATGCTATTAAACAAGGTGCTCCACACAATGGTCTATGAACCAACTGAATACCTTCTCCCACCAAGAACATACATATAGTTACAAAAGGCTGACATTAATTGAACACTGCATTAATCAGAAAGAAAAAATCCCCACCTTCTGCTTTTAGTTTTCATTTGGCAACTTCTGTAATAGTTGCATATATTAGTCTCTAATTAAGCACCTCTTGGCACTACCTCAGTAATTGCCATTTATGTTAATTCTATCCTTATTAAGCAGCTGTCTTTGCCATTCACTGTTATTAGGTTATCTCGGAAGATATCCCAATAAAACAGTAAGAAAATTAAGTTTATCCTGATTAAAAGGAGTTTATGTTAATCATAACACCTTCCAATAAATTTTTCACAGCAGGAAATACCATTTTCTGAGAATAAATTTGAGCTCTAGCACTTCAGCTGGAGCAATAGTGCAAGAAAATCATCCTTCAGATACCCCACTAAGACAAAGATGCTGTTTGCAAAATGGGGCAAGGGCATCCGGAGACTGTCATGTGAGGGGTACTGTGGCAGTGAAAGGGAGGAACAGAAGAGAATGCACATGGTCATAAAATTGGTTTGTTTAGAACAAAAAGTTCTGCACAGTGCTAAGCATGCAGTTCCTCTGCGCCGGACCATCATCACTGTATATCAGGACAGAACCATCCTCACAAAGACCATTAAACAGACCATTCACTTATATAGGGATTCACTATATCAGGAAATTAAAGAATATGGATAACTGTGGAACATTGTGTTAAAATTTAAAAATAGCTATGCAAATAAAGAGAATTTAATTAGAAACAACTAAAAGAGATTAATGTATCTAAAATTATAGATCCACTACAGTGTAATTCTATTTTCTGGACAAATACATTAGCAGTCCCTCAAAAAGTCTGTGTAATTGTAGAGGAAAATACAGTTATTATTTTTTCGGTACATTATTACAGGCAGCAGTACACAGAAATCAAAAGACAAATTAACAAAGAGATTTGGAACAATAAACACCAATCTCCAACTACTTAATATGAAGCTACAGTAAATTGCATTCCGTCACCTATAACAAAGTGCTTCATGGGACTAGGATGATAAATTAATACCATGGCATAAAACTGAAAAGAGTATTCCTTGAATTGGTAATTGACACTGTTTACTGAAATCTCCAAATTACAAAAATGCTGAATAAAAACTCCACTGCAGTCTTGAAAAAGAGGAATAATGCTTACTACAAAACAAAACCTGAGATTTAGACAAGTTTGCAGGTGGAAAAATCAAACACTTAAAGACAAATGGTAATATTTTATGTCTAAGCAATTTGTAAGTATTACCCCATATTCCAGTTTTATTTGACACACATGCTTTTCTGAACATAGGAAAATAGGATGAATGAAAATACCTCTGCAATAGTGGCCAACATCTCAGAAATCTTTCTGTAAGAGAATTTACATTCAAATATCTTAAGTAGGGCCAATATTCCTGTAATTGATATTAAAAATGGTCAAAAAGGTACATTAATTTTTTTTTTTAAATCCTATTAAAATAAATGTCTGAAATACTAACTTGTATAAACTTTATAGGTAATGGGATTGCTACTGCAGAGGTAAAAACTTGAAAAAACATTATAGAAATATGCTACAAGTTAATAAAATTAATAGAGTTAAGAAAAATGTAAATCAAATTTATATTGGTCCCTAGCTTGCAAGAATAAGAAACAGTAAATTCTGAAGTTTTTTAGCTGTTACTGGTAACTACAGAAACATGTAGTAGAAATAAAAAAAAAAAACCTCGATGATTTTGTTCTCAAAGATGCCAAAGGCGGTTGAAAACACAGTATATTTTGAGGTTTCTATGTTCTACTACTGCAGAAGTTAGAACATCATTAAAGTGATTCTCTGGTGTTGACTATTGAAGGCACACACAATGCTGTGGCAATGTGATCCTGAGGCTGTTCTCATTTATGCCAGGTACTAGCTGGCTGCAGAACTGGAGAAGTAGGAGACAGATGTATTCAGGCTGGTCTAACAACATGCACAGCTGCATTATTTTTATTTCTCCTCTCCCTCCCCCATCCTTCATTTCTCCGCTGCGTAGCCATTTTTGCATCCCACATCCTCCTTACCAGATTGCAGACATAATGGTCAGCTCTTCAGCTGTTTTAAACCAAAATATAATTAATACTAGGTTTTAATTGTAACTGATAACCAACTCTGAAAAAGGGTACAAAATGAACAGCAGTTTGAAGCCATGGCCTTTCCCACACAAAACACCCTATTCATTTCAGCCACCTGCTGTCTCCTGGTACCCTTGAAGGCACAGAAGTATCTCATTGCTCTCAGCATACCCACGTTCTGGCCAAGCTCTCTGTCCTCCCTGTGCTGCTGCACTGCCATGCCTGCACTGTAACCCAGCCTGGCCACAGGCACTGTGCCACCGTGTTGTTTCTGAATGGGCTGTACAACCTGAAAGTACCTGACAGGTGAGTGAGGAAGGGTACAAGGAAGTGTCATGGAGCAGCAAGAGAGCTACTTTCTTTACTTTCTTCACTCCAGAAATCTTTCTCTTGCTATTACCCTTCAAAAATGCTTTCCAGAATAGCCAAGGAAAATACGCTGTGAACTGTAAAAGCAATTAGAGAATAATTCAAATTAGTTTTAAACCAGTTATCTCCTGTAAACCTGCTACACAGAAGGCAACAAACTCCACAGTATGTGTGAAGATCCCCTATACTACCTTTAAATCTAGCCACGTTTACATTTTCTGGTGTGTTGATTGTACTTCCTGTCCTATCTGCTAAAATGATCCACTGTATTCAAGATTACTTTTCAAGTTCAATTCCATACAAGCAGTAGCAGCAGTGCTTTTTTGGGGGAGGGTTGGGGGTGGGGGGCGGACTGATGTGACAAGATAACTGATGACTGGTTATACCACAGGCATTTTTTCTGAAAAAAGGGGTTTACAATACTCCTAGTAATAGAACATCTTTAGCCTCTATGGTCTAATCAGTCATTTGTTTCAATGCTGACACATCATGCAAAAATCTTTCAGCTAATCTCAAGCAAAAGCTACAGTAAATCGCAGAAGTAGACAGATTATTATAAAATTACAAGTTTCCACAAGACATAAACTATTGTATATGTACTGGAAGGAATATTCTTGCAAAGAATGACTACAGGTCAAGAAATGAAGTAGAACACATATTCAAGAAAAAAGCTACCAGCAGCTGTGAGAATAGCATAAATTTATTAAAGGTGGGTGAAGCACAATTGTCCTTGATTGCTAACGATGCACTCATTTTAAAAGTATATTTCCAGTGCTTGTTGACTGTTAGTTTCATAAAATTGAAGGTGAATGTATAGTTGATTAGATGTTACTGTGAAAATGGCTTTTACAATTTAGTTTATGTTATTTTCTTTGTAAGAGTTCTAGTGAAGGACCATTAAGTTGCATTGCATTAAAAAATATTTTCTTTCTTTTTCTTTTTCTTTTTTAAATACTTACTGGAGAATACTCTCCAATCTAGGATAATCAATTCCGGGGTCAAATTTTGCGGCTTCTTACAAACTATGTATAATACCTAAATCCAAAAGCACTTAGGAATTACTTCAGTGAGATCATAGGCAAGGGCAGCATTAAACTGGTATACAATAATAAAGCTGTCAGCAAACAATAAAAAGGAAGTAGTCTAATGAAGGCAGTACATTTTGAAAATATATGCCATTTAAGCAATTAAGGGCTCTGGCAAATAAGTTCTGCAAAATCTTGCTGGAGAGATCTATGCAGTCACCAGACCAACCACCTAACCACTCTCTTTTTGGCTGTCACCACCTCTTTTACAGGGACAGCAGAAGTGGACACACAGGGGACCTTTTGTAAAAAAACAGTGCGTGTTTGCTACTCCAGCTGTTTCAGTAAGGAAGGAGAAGCACCTCAAAACACCAGCTTCAACAAATTAAAGTCCTGATTAGCAATAATTCACTCATTATGTCCGAAAGGGATGAGGCCACAGTGTGACGACGAGATACTAATGATACTGTGTAAACTACCTGTATGGAACATTGATCCTCTATCGTGATAAGCTAATTTCAGTCGATAGGTCACAGCAGAATTGAAAATAAAATTTCTAAAATACAAATGCCCATGCACATCTGGTCTCCAAGCCATCATTTCTCATTTTTACATATTCTTACATACCAAATCAAATTAATAGAATTCCCCCCATCAACTTCTCTAGGTACAAATAGTGCTTAAATGAGAAACTGGTGTCTTTTTTTGTCATATTTACCACCACCACCACTTTTCTCTTGTGGAAGAAATCACATGCAAGAACTGGCTAAAGAAAACTGCCAAGCTCACTGTCTGTTGAACTATAAATTGGGCAGCACACATGAAACTGCAACCTGCAGTGCTACAGAAATTTACCCTACAGCATTCTGGAGATCATTTTCCCCAAAATAGAACCCCCTTCTAATCTGTTGCCTCTTCATACCCCCCAAAACCCACATCTGTTTCCTACCAATAGCTTTTAACACACATCCTCTTGATGTCTTCTAACAGGAAACAGAAAGTGAGAGTTCACTTTCATCAACATCGAAGACTCAGCCTGGGAGCCATGCTGTCATTTCTCCAAAGGAGTCCAGCGTGAAAAGAGGGAGAGCAATCTTTGAAAAGATGTTATCAGAAAATGGCCACAGCAACAGATCTGAAGGTTAGCGTTACCACATTGATCTGAAGCTTCACTTTCAGGCAGTGGTCTCCAAACCTTTTTGATGGCACACCTCTATCACTAAAACATTTTTGAGCACGCACTCACAATGTTTGTAAATATATTTATCTACAAATTGTATATACTTGTACTTCTCTACTAATACATGATGTATACTAGGCAACACACACACAAATAGATATTAAGAAAGGATGATGGACGAAATTAAAAAAAAAAACATTCCTTTAAAATGTGTTTATTTATAAAAACTGTTTTCTTCCTGCACCCCAATGAACTGTCTTGCACAGCACCTGGGGTGAGCACATCGCACTTTGGAGACCACTGCTTGATGGTATTAAAGAGTGTACGTATCTGTGTTTTGGCTTGTTTTAACAGAGGAAGAACATGCATGACACAATTTTCTGACAGAAAATCACTTGAATTCTTAGTGTCTTGGACTTGACTTTATATGAAACAACAGATCACCCAAATAAAGAGCATAAAAAGACTTGTCCACTCTGCCAATAAAATTAATAAGCCAGCTACATAGTATCAGCCAGTTACTGACTCCACTCTTTTTTTGATCAGAAAATGTTTAGCCTGCACGGTTAGCAATTCCAGACTCTAGCAGAACAAAGGGAAAAGGAAATATTAGTGTGCAAGACCTTTTCTAGCTAATTCTGCTAGGTTTATTATGCTCAATATATATATCCAAACTAAATACCTGATCTTTTATCAGGTTTAACTTTAAGCCATTGGTTATCTTTTTTTCTACCAAATTAAAGAGATCTTTAACAGCTGCTCATTTCTTCTTGGAAGGTTGATGTTCTGGTTTTGGCTGCAGCCGGCAACAAAAACGCCACGCAGCCACCCCTCCCCCTGCCGCGGTGCGGAGGAG